TTGTTGGAAGGACACCATTCCTTTCAATCTCCCACTTGTCCTTCTGGAGAAGTGTGTATATAGTGTATAGCCCATTTCCTATGTCGCTTAATGTCTCTTCGTGAACTATAAGGTAAGATTCATCGTCATCCTTATTACGTTCAGAAGTGTTTCTCGATCTCCGAGTTCAACTGTTAATAAGCAGATGATTTCTAAAATCCATCTGAGCACGGCCATGCATTTTCACAGTCTCACTCATCGAACGGCCTTGCAAACAACAAAGACATATTCCCTATTGTTAATAGGGGGAAATTCCCAGTCTTGCATTGTAAGTTTCTCTTACTAAGAGGACCTAATCTCCCGAGTGTTCCCGTTATGATCCCCAGTTACGGCAGACGTTAGACAACATCAAATAGACTAGTTCTCAAACAAGAAAACTTCACAATACTCATGGTCGAGGAAACGAGTTCCGATAGCTATAATGAGAAATGTACTTATGAAAATTTTGAATCTCTTAAAGTACTCTCATAGGTCGATCCAGTGCAGTTCCAAACTTGCACCTGTGCAAATGATTTATGACCATCATGTCCTTGCAGCACAAGAAACGGTGCTGTAAATCATACTACACACTAATCTCTGGTGGTCATCAATCGTCCATCAGTTAGATGACCTCGATTAGGGATAACTTTCGATTTAAATATTCAATGTTCACTTAACAAGTGTTTCTTTATCCAAGACATGGTCTTGATACCCTGTTTTGAATATTTCCATAAATCGAATGGACTCATTATTTAATTCTAAACCACAATTAAATAGCAAAGGAGTGAATGATAATTTTGCACAAAAATTAATTACTCCATTTATGAATGGTTTCAATACAGTGTCTTACATTAAATCAACTAGTTTAATTAAAACACATGTACAGGGAATTTCAAAGCCAATCTCCAACATGCTTGATTCCCATTGCCTCAACGTGCTTGTTGTGTTTCACTTGAGGAAAAGGTTTAGTCAAAGGATCGGCTACATTATCATCCGTGCCGATCTTACAAATTCTGATTTCACCTTCGGATTTCCATTCCCTTATCATGTGAAATCGCCTTTGGACATGTTTGACCTTCTGGTGTTCTCTTGGCTCCCTGGCCTGAGCGATAGCTCCATTGTTGTCACAGTAGAGATCTATCGGTCCCTTGATGGAGGGTACAACACCAAGTTCATTGACGAACTTCCAAATCCAAACAGCCTCCTTAGCAGCTTCTGAAGTAGCCAAGTATTCGGCTTCAGTTGTAGAGTCTGCAGTTGTGCTCTGCTTGGCACTCTTCCAGCTAAATGCTCTTCCATTTAGGCAAAATATGTACCCTAATTGTGACTTGAAGTCGTCTATGTCAATCTGGAAGCTAGCGTCAGTGTAACCTTCAACAACCAGATCTTTGTGGCCACCATAAACCAGGAATTTATCCTTGTTCCTTTTTAGGTACTTCAGGATATTCTTGGCCGCAGTCCAATGCGCCTCTCCTGGGTCTGATTGGTATCGGCTCGTAGCACTCAAGGCATACGAGACATCTGGCCTGGTACATATCATGGCATACATGATCGACCCAATTAGCGAAGCATATGGAATCTGATCCATTCATTCTCGCTCAACAGGTGTCTGTGGACACTGTTTCTTGCTCAGAGTTACGCCATGGGACATGGGTAGATGCCCTCTCTTGGCATTCTCCATGTTGAATCGTTCCAGTACTTTATCAATGTAAGTACTCTGGCTCAATCCAATCATCCTCCTAGATCTATCCCTGTAGATCTTGATGCCCAATATGTATTGTGCCTCTCCTATGTCCTTCATTGAAAAGCACTTTCCCAACCATCCCTTTACGGACTCCAGTAATTTTGTGTTGTTTCCAATGAGCAGTATGTCGTCGACATATAGGACTAGGAATGCGATTTCACTCCCACTGACCTTCTTGTATACACAAGATTCATCTGGATTCTTGATAAAACCAAACTTGTTGATGGCTTCATCAAATCGCAGATTCCAACTCCTGTTGGCTTGCTTTAGTCCATAAATGGACTTCTTAAGCTTGCAAACCTTTCCAGCGTTGCTCGGATCGACAAAACCTTCTGGCTGTGTCATGTACACAGTTTCTTCCAAAATCCCATTTAGGAAGGCGGTTTTGACATCCAATCTGCCATATTTCAGAATCGCAATATGCAACAATCGCTAGAATAATCCGGACAGACTTTAGCATTGCAACTGGTGAAAAGGTTTCATCATAGTCAATCCCGTGGATTTGTCTATCACCTTTTTCCACCAGTCTAGCCTTGTATATCGATAAATTTCCATCCTTGTCTGTCTTCAATTTGAAGATCCATTTGTAACCAATGGGTGTGTAACCCTCGGGCAAATTCAACAAGTCCCAGAATTGATTTTCAGACATGGAGTCCATCTCGGATTTCATGGCTTTTTGCCATTTAGCAGAGTCGGGGCTCGTCATAGCTTGCGTGTATGTCACTCGCTCATCTCCATCCATAACTAGGATGTCTTGATCATCGGTTAAGACAATTAGGTTGAGCATTTACATTGTCTGTTTGATTCTGACCAATCTTCCCAGCTGCTTCCAAAGCACTTAGATTGTCAGTTTTATCAGGTTGACATTGTTGCTCGTCCTCTTCAACTTCGTCAAGTTCGATTTTCCTCCCACTTGTCATTTTGGAAAGGTGTTCCTTCTCCAAAAAGACACCATCACGAGCAACAAACACTTTGTTCTCGTATTTATTGTAGAAGTAATACCCTTTGGTTTCTTTTGGATATCCCACAAAGAAACACTTATCCGATTTGGGGTGAAGTTTGTCCGAGATTAATCGCTTGACATATGCTCCGCATCCCCAAATCTTGAGAAAAGACAACCTAGGAGGTTTCTTAGTCCATAATTCATATGGAGTCTTTTTAACAGCTTTTGACGGAGCACGGTTCAGTGTTAGTGCCGCGGTTTGTAGCGCATGTCCCCAGAAAGAGATAGGAAGTTCACTAAGACCCATCATTGATCGAACCATGTCTAACAAGGTTCGATTCCTTCGTTCGGACACTCCGTTCCATTGAGGAGTTCCGGGAGGCGTCAACTTTGAAAGAATACCATTTTCTTTCAAGTGATCATCGAATTCATGGCTCAAATATTCGCCACCTCGATCCGATCAAAGTGCTTTAATTTTCTTGCCAAGTTGATTCTCAACTTCTTTCTGAAATTCTTTGAATTTCTCAAAGTATTCAGATTTATTCAACATTAAGTAGATATAGCCATATCTACTAAAGTCGTCGGTGAAGGTGATGAAATATCGGTAACCTTATCTTGCGGGTGTACTCATTGGTCCGCATACATCCGTGTGTATTAGACCTAATAAGTCACTTGCCTTTTCTCCCAACTTAGTGAATGGTTGTTTTATCATCTTGCCTAATAGAAATCCTTCGCAATTTTCAAATGACTCCAAGTCGAATGAGTCAAGAACACCTTCTTGTAGAAGTTTCTTGATGCGTTTGACGTTAATATGGCCAAGACGACAATGTCACAAGTAGGTTTGATTCGACTCGATGGTCTTAGCCCTTTTGGCGGTATTATCAATGTTATAGACTTGTTTGTCAAGAGAAAACACATAAAGACCATTTTCTGAATATGCTTTACCATATAAAACATTATCGAAATAAAATGAACCACTATTGTTCTTAATTCAAAATTCAAAACCTTTGGCGTCTAACGCCCATATTGAAATAATGTTTTTGGTAACTTTAGGAACATGATAACAATTGTCAAGTTCTAAGATAAGCCCTGAGGGCAATGACAAACTGAGAGTTCCAACGGAGACGGCAGACATTCTTGCTCCATTGCTGACCCGAAGCTCGACCTCTCCCTTCTTTAGCCTCCTATTTATCCTTAGTCCCTGAGCATTGGAACAAAGGTGTGAGCCACTTCCGGTATCTAATACCCATGATGTTTTGCTAGCGAAGTTTAAATCTATAACAAAAATACCTAATGAAGAAGCAACGATGCCGTTCTTCTTATCTTCCTTGAATTTGAGGCAGTCCCGTTTCCAATGTCCCTTCTTCTTGCAGTAGAAACATTCGGAATCGGACTTAGAAGAGGCTACCCTTTTTTCCTTGCTACCCTTGGCAGTGTTTGACTTAGGCGGAAAATTTCTCTTTTTCCCTTTAAAGCTCTTCTTCTTGCCCGGACGTTTGAATGACTTGCCCTTCCTCACCATGAGCATGTCATGCTTCCCCTCATCCTTGAGGGTTTGCTCGGCTTGCTTCAACATACCATGAAGCTCGGTGAGGGTTTTCTCCATGCTATGCATATTATAGTTCATCTTGAACTGATCATAGCCTTTGTGAAGAGAGTGGAGAATGATGTCAATTGCCATCTCGATTGAATACCCAGCATCAAGCCTTTCCATGTTCTCAAATAATCCAATCATTTTGAGGACATGCGGGCTGACTGGCTCTCCTTTCTTGAGCTTTCTCTCAAGGATCTGCCTGTGGGTTTCGAACCTTTCAGTTTGGGCCTGCTCTTGAAACATATTCTGAAGCTCAGAAATGATCTCAAAAGCCGTCTCCTTTTCAAAGAAAGTCTTTTGAAGGTCCGGAGACATAGTGGCCAACATGATGCATTCACTAGGCGAAAAACCTCAATCCCCACCGGTTCAAACCACACATTCCCCACCGGTTTTGAACCGTTCTTGATTTGGGGGGTGCTAAATCCCCAAAGATTTCCCACCGGTTCAAAACCGGTGGCAAAAACCACTTTTCCCACCGGTTTTGGAGTGAACCGGTGGCAAAAACATGTGATTTATCTTATAGCTGGAGGACTTTTCCCACCGGTTTTCAAGTGAACCGGTGGCAAAACTATAACATTTCCCACCGGTTTTCACACTGACCCGGTGGCAAAAGTGCCCCAAAAAATTAAATTTTTTTTTTTTTTTTGCATTTTTTTCACTTAAATTGTACCAAATACTTATATATAATCATAATATACATAAAACACATATATTTGCCTCAATAACTTGTAATATTACACTTTAAAAAACTAAAACAAAATGGACATATAAACACTAACATATATATTTTTGGACATATAAACACTAATATATGCTATCTGACACTATAAATGGGAAGCTAGGCTGCCATTGCTCATATACGCATATATAAGCATGTTTTTTCCCTTCTCTGTACAATATCCAAGCAAATTCAAGAGGTTCCTGTGATGCAACCTTCCTAACAGCTTAACCTGAGAAACAAGAGCATGCAATAAAAGAAGGTGAGATCAAGAATCAATCAGCACAATAACTACAGCATAAAAAGAGACAACAACTTGTCTACCACACAAGACATCTAAGGATGAACCTTGGTATAAATTATATTGCCGCTAAGAAGCTGCACTGATTAAAATATGACATTACCTCTGTTTCAAATTCTCGCTCCCCTTGCTTTGAATCAGTTGCCAGCACCTTCACAGCAACTATTTCACCAGTTGACATCTGAGCTTTGTACACAGGACCATATGCACCCTGGCCAACCAATGTTGTGAAATTCTGAGTCGCCTTCTGCAAATCCCTGCAAAAGAAGTAGCCAGCTTATACTCTTATAGTCATCAAGTAAAGTGCAATCAGGGTACTGTTCATATCAGTAGTTTCACCATGATTTGAATCTACAAGAAATTAATCTCCAACAAGGATAGATTGACAAAGAGGGTGGAGAAAGAGAGCACTTGAGATACTGAGACCAAAAATCATATTAAGATGTAAATTATACTTGAATTATACATTCTTAGCAAAGCAATGACACTAGCCAAACACAGTAATATGACATTATAAGCTGTAATGAGGTCTGGTACGACAATTATTTATTACCATAAGAAAGCAATTAATACCTCCTTTTACGATTCTCACGTAAATTACAAAGAATCAAAACAGCAGCATATATGTAATAAAATCTAACACCAAGATTCAAGCATCAAGTTATGAAACATAATTGATTTGTTAGCAACATTTACAAAATCCATTGATCAATCTATAAAAATGGCACTAATCGGACTGATAAGATTTCTCATCTTCACTACCCAATTCGGTTTTGTCCCTATGATCACTTAAAGAGGATTGCCAATTCCTTATTTTTAATGTCTCAACGGAATAATTTTAACATTGTCACTAAAAACTTAAGTAAATTTCGGAAAGCAAACCTGTAAGCAAACTCAAGTATACCAGATGCAGAAACAACATTACTTCTCTTAAAGCCGTCAAGCCACAAAGACATCCCACTGACACTTTTTCTGTATCGTCTTGGAGATTCAGGGCCAAGGGTAACGCCTTTTTCAATTTTTCTGGATCATTAGGAGAAAATGCTATAAGAGCTTCAGCAGAAATTGTACATTACTAGTACATGGTTTCACCCATGTACTTGTGCATTAAGGAAACGTGGAAATATAAGAGCTACAGTCAAGACAAATTACATCATAGGTAAACTTTCATGTGTCCTCAAGGCATTAACATGTAAAAATGATCAAGGTTGAAGTCATTAGCATACAAAGCACTTACTAGAAACATCATAGACGATAACAGCAACTGAAGAATCTCTGATGCAACTGGGAATAAGACTCCGAAATCTTTCCTGTCCAGTAGTATACCTGGAATTAGCAGTTAAAGGTTCAGAACATGGGACAGAATCATATAAATCAAGTCTACAAGACAACAAGTTATATTGGTAAATCATTAAATCGTCATGAGATGGAAAATCTAGAGATAAATTTTTCTGCTATTATAAGCAATGAGTTCAGGGCGCTTAAGAAATTTGTTTGTTACTGCTTTAACATGAATATACATTAACTGACAAGACATTTGACGGTATCATACCAGAGTTGCAAGCACACTGTTCGGTCTTCAAGATACATGGTTTTCGACAAGAAGTCAATCCCAATAGTGGCCTGCCATTAAGTTGACATTATTAAAATATATCAAAATAATAGATGTCCTAGATTTCAATATACATCAAATACACAATAAACAATACCAAAGAATAAGAGTTGCACATACGACTATACCAACATGATTTCATGATGATGTAACCTGAAGTTTGGATGGCCAAAATTATTTTGGAGTATTACTTTATACTTGTAGGATATTAGGATCTTACTAATTTCCAATTCTAAACTTGTCCATTAGATATTGAGAAATCTCCACTATATATTAAATAGGCCAACTCTAGGATGAGAGAAATATACTATATAAGTAAAGCTTACAAATTTGAAAAGGAAATGCAAATTTTATTATAGGAAGTTGAACTCATCTCCTATGACAATGTGGCTCAGTGGTTAATATCATTCATAAAAAATCATGGCAATCTATAATTATATTGTTGGCCATGAAGTGGAAACTATGGTTTAGTACAAGTCATGCCTCCAACGGAAGATTTTTTTTAAAAAAAGAACTCGGTATCATGCATCTTGGTTTTATCAAAGACGTCCTTATTTGACTTTAAAACTTCAAGTTTCTGGATGGTGCAATATACCAAATTACCAATTACTAGTGTATATAATTACGGGAAGAAAAAAAATTTAATTTTGATGACTGATATCTGAATCATAGCCAAAATTAGATGATTCGTACCAAATTTATCTAACCTGAAACTAAGGTTGGGATTGATTCTATCTGAAACTAAAGTCACCAGACCCAAAACATAACAAAATGACCCCATTGTCACCTTTAAAAGCCCCTACTTGGAGTCATGCCTGTGATTCTATGATCAGTCAACAAATTACAGAACCATGCACTTGATTGCGGAATGACAAATCTTTGACAAACTATAATTCCTAGTACATATTGTAACAAAATTGCAATTGTATCCTAAATTAATGAAAATTCTCTAGAAAAATTTGTAATCCTAGCGTGAAATAGGGTAAGTTAGGTACAAATACACAATTCAATAAAATAAATAAATAAATAAAAACAGCAAAATTAGGCATAAAATCATATCATTTGAAAACAATTAGACAAACTAACATCAATTCCAACAAATTCAGCAACCATAAAGGACTTCCTTAACTTAACAGCAGTAGATCACAAATTTCCAGCAAAATTGAATATCAAAACGTTGACCAGTGATAGGTAGACAAGATTTAAAAGAAATTGATGCTTCTAGGATAGCAATTCATACCCTGTAAGTTGTAAGGTCAGACAGTCATGTTTCAATCTTCAGTATTTTAAACTGTGGACAGTAGTTGTTTCTCTTCACATAATTTTTCTGAAAGAACAAAAGAGTATTAGATAATTTGCTCAGATCCTCTTTCTCGTAGTCACACTAATGAGAAAGACTAGAAACGTTTCTGACCAAATAGAGCATGATGAAATAGACAGGAAGAATGATAGAGCATGCAAGTTTACAGCAGTTCAACAAAGATCATGCACACACACACACACACATACACATACAAGGGGGGAGGGAGGTAAAAAGAGAGATTTCTGATCAAATATATCAGAAACCTGATCAAAATGCAATATCAGAAACCTGAAAAACAACACCATTTTTACCTAATTAAGAACTATCACAAAGTCATATAGTAACAATTCTATGCTCAATCGTGACACACAAAGCTAACAGAAAATTAGCTAAAATTTCTCGAATTATCCCAAATTTTCCTTACAATTAAAAACCCTTAATCTCGAATCGCAGAAAAAATAACTTAATTAGTAGAAATCAAACCGAATTGAAGAAAAAATCATACTTAAATAAGCAGGCATCAATTAAAGATTAATAAATTCAACCAATTAAGGAGAGATCGAAATTCGAGTATGAGAATGAAGTAGAGCTAAATTTGTAGTGTTGTATTGAAAAATCCAGAAAAAAGAATCAGTATGACAAAAACAATAGAGATTTACCAATCGGATGAGAGAGAAAATAATCACCACCAACACCCACCTTGTAACCACCCTCTCACCGCCATGAATATCTGAAACCCCACCACAACCACCCAAAAGCCACCCAACCAACTCGCACCACCACCAATTAAAGCCCCAAGTCACCAGCGACCACCAACAAACCCACCCAACTAACTCGCACGTCCACCAGCGACCAGCCGACCACCTTACCACCTCCAACAAACCGAAACCCCAACTAACTCGCACGACCACCACCGACCAGACGACCACCAAGGAACCCACCCAACCAACTCGCACGACCACCAGCGAACCGAAACAACCACCTTGTTACCACCTCCGACAAATCGAAACCCCAACAAACCACCGCTAATTTAGATCTGAAACCCCAACTTACCACCACCAAGGAAACGAATCGAAATCCCACCACAAAAATCTGAGGACGGGGAGAGGAGAGAAAAGGAGATTATAGAGGGGATTGAGATGAAAGAGAAAAGCGAAGTAGGGTTTGAGATTATACAGGGGTTTGAGATGAAAGAGGGAGTGAGGGACTACGGAAGAGGAAAAGTAAGATATTGGCGACCGGTTTTTTTTTTTTTTTAACAATTGCTTTCGCACCGGTTCGAACCGGTGCGAAAAGTTTCTTTTCCCACCGGTTTGATTAAAACCGGTGGGAAAAGTCTTTTCCCTAATTCCGCCCCTTTCTTTTACCACCAGTTTTCAAGAACCGGTGCGAAAAGTGCGGTGCTTTATTCATTTTTTCTACTAGTGATTTGACATCCCGATTGGCACTTTGCCATCGGTTAAGGGTAGCCTGAGTGACCTCCTCATTGGGAGTATCGAGCATTTCCTCATCAAGGACTTATTCCTTTTGCTCTTGCATTAGTACAATGCGCAAATTTCCTTGCCAATCAAGAAAATTTGGCCCGCTCAACTTCTCCTTGTCGAGAATTGAGCGTAAAGAGAATTGGTTGTTGTTTGAGTTACTTGCAGACATTGTTCTAGAATTGAAAGAATTTGAAATGAAAAACCATTCATAAATCAATAAGTTGAAATTTAAAGCGTTCATGCATATTTTCAATCTTATTGAGCATTTTATCCACGCATTATTAAGTTGTCCCTTATAGACGAGAATAAAATGATTCCGAGATCCCAAAGATCAAGAAATGGTTAAGCATTCTTTGGCTTGTCTTAATCATTAAATATCTTAAGATAAGAAATCCAATTGCTAATACCTCCAAGCCACTCTCGGTTTGATAAAATGTCGCATCTAATGCATCCTTGACATTTTATCTCTTTTGCCACGACATCTAAGGACTCCTTACTGATATCGTTGAACTTAACCAAGACAACTTGTATACCTAGTATACCTTACGTTCCTAGGGAAGTAGTGATGCCTCGCTTTGGCGTAGCCCATCACATACGCGCATTAGTTCGGTAAGTGTTGTTCTTGGAACGGCAGATTTTAGCTCAATATTATTAAGGGACCTAGGGTTTCTATGTTGGTTTGATTTAAGTGAACTTAACTAATCGTCGCAACATATAGAAATCCTAGACATGCATCTAACATTCATATATAACAACAATATATATATAAAGCATAAAAATAGATGCATTTGGCAACTACCATGACCCCTTGAAATCTTCAATTTCCATGGATCTTCATCGAAACGCCGTCTTGAGACATCTTGGCCAAAATAAAATAACTAGCTAGTACGACTAAGATTAATCTATTAGTACAAAAATACTAAACGGTTTGCAGACCGTATTCAAATTTACAAAAATACATAACGGAACGCAGTCCGTATTTTCTATCCTAGTCGGGCCCCACTAGTTGCCATTTTCAAAAATCTGTTTTGAAAACAATCTTCCATTCACCCATTCACTATTTGTGAATGGCCCATGCAAATTACGAAATACATAATTAAACACGCAAAACTAGTAACTAACTTAGGTGGTTAATCCAATTAACGCGCCTAATTAAAACTAGTCAAAATTGTTTAATTCATTATTTCTAAAAGCAAATTGCTCACGTAATTAACTAAGCTCCCACTAAATTCCGCATCCATACTTAATTAATCCGATTAATTAAATCGGCATAACCCGTAATTTGTCAAAATCAAAAATTTTGCAAACGCCGGAAAAATCGAGGTCTAACCTCGTTAAAATAATTACATAAATAACATAAAACGGCAAAAATTTTCGCAAAATTACATAGCTCAAAATCAAGAAAAAACCCCACACAATTGCTTGGTGGGTGCGCACCATGGCTGCTAGGCAGCCCACGCCTTGTGCTATGGTCCGTGATGCTAGCATGCTGCGTCCAGCACAGCTAGCCACGCTGCTAGCACTAGCAGCCTGCCAGGCATGCTACGCATGCTGGCTAGCAAGGTGGCGCCTGCAAGCAAGTGGTGCACTGGGCTGGTGCTTGCTGCCATGCTGCCCAGCAGCATCCCCTCGCAAGCCAGCCCCTTGCCACTGCTCCACGCACATCAGCCCTAAGTCTCCCCGCCACACAGCAGCCACTCAAGGCACACCCCTGTGCGCACCATAGGCAGCCACATGTGGGCTGTTAGGCAGCCCGGCTAGCCTTGGTGGCACTTGGGTGTTTTTGCCTCTTTACGTGCCATTTCTCGGGATTTTATTCCCGATTTATGTGTGACATAAAATTAATCTAAAATTATTTTAGAATTAATTTAAGGGCAAAATGAAAATAAAATAAGTCCAACTTAATTAAATTCAATTTAACGGTGCACAAGCCTAAATCATCCAAAATTTATTTTGAAATAATTTAGGTCTTCCTTTATGCTTAAAATTGAAATAGCTATGTCCATAATTAATTTTGCCAATATGCAAATTAATAATGGATTTGACAAATGGGAGTTGGAAAAATAAATTAACCATCTAATGATAAAAATTTCCAATTTTCATACTTGTGTAAAATAACAAGATTACATCTTCCAATATGAAGATTAATCAAAATTTTACTCACAAGTATTTGAACTTCATGGATTTTAATCAACCAAACATGAAAAATCCAAACTTTGTTCAATATGGAATTTAGGGTTAGAGTTCCAATCATTTAAACCTTTAAAGATTAGAACTTTAAAATACTTGGGACCTTAAAATTACACATTCACATCAAACATTCACACATTATTGCAATTAATTTGCAAAATTGTGAAAAATCAAGTTTATGTGAAAAAGGCATATCAACTCAAACACTAATTAAAACTCCATAATTATGCTCAAGGATAATTAAAATAGCAGTAGATTAGGGATGCAATAATGCGTTTAATCTAACCTTGTAATGCTTGCATTAATCAAGCCTTAAAAAGATTTAATATTTCGTTGAAAAACGAAAAAAACCCCAAAAACTTGGGTTTCTGGTTCAAATTTGGCTTCTGGACAGCCCTTGAAAGATTTGAATCTGTTTCAGAATGTCAATTCCACCCAAAAATCACTATTATTGAGCCAAAATCTGGGTTCGACAGCCAAATCGATAAAATACGAGTTTTAAAATTAATTAAAAGAGCTTCTAATCTAATTAGAAAAGTAAAACCAGAAATTAAATCTTACATTAAAACACCTTAATTAATCAATAATTGCAAAGATTAAAAGGAGTGTGGTTCCGATGCCGCTGTTGGGTTTCGTAGTGACCCTCACTACGCGTAAAGAAACCCGCCAAGACCCGCCCCCATAATAAATGCAATTAACAAGCAAAACATAATTAAAATACAAGAAAGGATAAAAGATTATACCTTTGCCGCGTGCTTCGCTCAACTATGAGCTCTTACTTGAACCCCGAAATTACGAGGTCTCCAACGGGATCGTACCCTCGAACCCAACCCGAGCGTCCTAAGTCTGGAAGGTTAGTCGAGACCCGGACAAATAAAACTATGAGTTTTACGAATCAAGGTTTACTCAAATTAAGAGTTGCCTTTTAATTCCACTCAAGGTTGTGTCTTTCCCAATACCCATGACTTTGGTATTTATAGGGAAATGCACCCTTGAACTTCATTTCCCAACCAATGTGGGAGAATGAATAATTTTGATGATTAATTTATTTCCAAAATAAATTAATTATTAAATCAATCACAATGCAACAAGTGTCAATGCGAGAGAGAGGGTTAGGTGAGGACCATGAAGAGGTGGGGGGGACCATTGCCATGCTCCCCAAGGCTTTGCCCAAGCCTTGGTCCCCACCCTCACAAAACTGCCATAGAGGGTTGTGCTGGCTTCCAGCTAGCGCTGCCAGCTAGCACCAGCCAACAGCCTCGCATCCCAGCCAGCCAGTGCGTGCTGGTGCTGGGTGATGCTTGGCGCTGGTGCTGCGTGCTAGTGTTGTGCTGTGCTAGCATGCTGGCACTGGCCCAACACTCCCACACAATCCCTTGCACACACACGCTGCTACACACAGCCATGCCTGCCAAGGCCCACGCACATGCTAGCAGCGCACACCCAGCACACTCCTCGCCCACATGCATACGCACCACATGCATGCGCACCAACACGCATACGCACCAACACGCATATGCACCACACGCACTGCTAGCCCAGCCAGAGTGCCTAAGCACGCAAGGGCCTAGCATGCGTGTTGGGCGATGGTGCGAGGCATGCTATGGCCTATGATGGTGCTAGGCATGCAC